ACGCGCCCGCCATGGTACGCCTGCCAGTCGGCCTTCTGGGCAGCAGCCCTGCTCACGCTGTCCTGGCCGCTGCGGGTGCTGAGCGAGTACCGCACGGCGTACGCCCATTACCACGTAGAGAAGCTCTTTGGGCTAGAGGGCGGCGGCGGCGGCGGCGGCGGCTCCACCCCGAGCGGCGACGAGTCCCTGCCCCCGCTCACCCATCGCCTGCCCCGGGTCAACACGGTGGACAGCACCGAGCTGGAGTGGCACATCCGCTCCAACCAGCAGCTGGTGCCCAGTTATTCTGAGGCCGTGCTGATGGACCTGGCTGGGCTAGGATCTCGCTGCGGCGGGGGGCCCGGCGGGGGTTACACGCCCTCCTGTCGCTACGGTGGCGTGGGCGGCTCGGGGGCCGCCGGGGCAGCCCCGTACCGCCGCAGCTGCGAGCACTGCCAGCGCGCCGTCAGCAGTTCGTCTATCTTCTCTCGCAGTGCTCTCAGCATCTGTGCCAGTCCCCGGGGCGTGGGTGCGGCCGGGGGTCCAGGGGCTAGCGGTGGCTGTGGCGGGAGTCGTTTTTCTTTGGGCCGCCTTTACGGCTCCCGCCGGAGCTGCCTGTGGAGGAGCCGGAGCGGGAGCGTCAACGACGCCAGCTGCCCCACAGAGCAGACGCGCCTGTCCAGTCAGGCCAGCATGGGTGGCGACGACGACGACGAGGACGATGAAGATGAAGAGGGAGGACCGCCTCCACCCTACCACGACGCGCTCTACTTTCCAGTGCTTATAGTCCACCGGCAGGAAGGGTGCTTAGGCCACAGCCACCGGCCATTGCACCGCCACGGCTCCTGCGTGGAGACCTCACTGTGACCCTTCCCTCCCCCATCTGTCGAGAAGGGGTGGGCGGCAGAGGGGGAGGTGTCGCAAGGATTGAGGGGACTGGGGGGCCTTCCCACCACCAACCCGCTCCACGCCAAACTTTGTCCCCTGTCCCTAACCGGGGGAGCCACGGATGTCCGAGTGACCACAAGCAGAAGGGGCAGGCTTTGAGGGGGATTGGACAGATCAGCATGGACTGAGACCTCTTACACAAAAAGAGTAGGGGTGGTGTGCACACGTGTGTATGTATGCTTGGGGGAGGGGGAGACTGACCCAGAATTTTCAGAGAAAGAGATTTGGGGGATTCAGAACCATCGAGGCCAAAGCGATCCCTTCTCTGCCCCTTGCCAAATCCTGTGTTCCTAAGGGCATAAAGGGATGCAGCCTCACCTAAGCCGGCTTGGGACCCAGCCTTTTACAAGATTTTCCGACTGTTATATGGGATCCTGTTATCTCCCTCTTCTTCCTCCCCCGCTCCCACACACCTTGTCAGCCTACTCTATGGAAGAGGCAGGCCCTTCTTATAGAGCTGGGGAGAGAAAGATCTTGGGTGAGGGAAAGATACTGGGGAAAGCCTGAAGGAAAGGGCTTCCCCTCTTACCCCTCTTCACCCCATTTGGAATTTGTTGGGACATGGTGGAAGGGAAGGATTTCTGAGTTAATAACCCCTTAATTTAAGTGGGGCTTTGGATGAGCTCAGCACTCTGAACATCCCCACTTCAATTCCCTGGAAAATATTGAGATCCTGCCATCTCTGGCCTCTTTCTGCCCTCCTGCTCCTCACACCCCACCCCAGGCCAGTCTCTTTTCTGCTTCTCTTTCCCTTCTTTAAGCCTCTTGTTTATCTTTCTGGTCCCAGGAGTCCTAGCTTCCAGAGGTATGGCTCTTTTCACAAAGACATTACATTTGGCTCTCTTTCTCTTGTTGCTGGAGGGATGAGATTGCATAGTAGGAAGAGAGGACAACTGGATTCCTTTTCTAAACTCACTTGGGTCTCAGTTTCTCCACCTAGGCCAGGGGTTGTGTGCCTTTTCTAAAGGGAAGGCTGAGTGGGTGAGATGAAACCAGGATGCTGACCAGGAGGATGGACTGAACAAAATGATCCGGTTTAAGAGAACTGGATTGAGGAAGAGTACCCAGGAGAGAGGAGGAGGGTAATTTGGAGGGGAGAACCTGACCAGAATTGAGAAGGGGATAGTGGGCTTCTCTTTGTGCCCCCTCCCCCACATACCCCCAGCTGACAGCTTTGTCCTAAGACTAAACTGGAGAAATTCTGGATTCCAATGTTTTGGGGCTTTTAGGGATGTATTTATACCCCAACCCCCAGCAGCCCTAGCCCCATAAACTTGGGTCACTGCTGTGTATCCTAGGTTCCTTTAAGGCAGGCAGGAACAAGCCCTGCCCCCATTTTATTCTCCTGCTGTCGGTGGCTTAGCAGCCTTTCATTCCCGCTGCTCCTAAGCTCTATTCACTAACCTGGTCCTTTGGTGCAAAAGGACCCTAGCACTTCCTCTCTGTCCCTTCTTATTTCAGCCTGCATGTCTGTGTGCTACCCCTCTCCTCCCAACAGTCTGTCCCTAGCTCAAGCTCACCTCTGTTGATTTAGTGCAGAAAGGCAAAAGCAGTCTAGAGATGAGTTACTGTAGGCCTTGATCTAGAATTTTCCCTTGTTTTCTCCTGTCTCCCTCAGAGGACACCTAGAGGTAACACCCCCTGCCCCCACTTTGGGCCCAGCAATGTCAGTGCCCCCTCATTGTAGCCTCCACCTATGCAACATCATCTGTCCCCACATCCTTCCTCATTGGGAGTTTGGGGAAGGATAGATTCAGGAGGCATTGCTTCTGAGCTGTTTTTTCAAGGTGTTAGGGCCTGGCTCTGATTAACTTGGTGTACGCATGTGTGCCTGTGTATGTGCATGTAGGGCTGAGCTAGCTAGGTTGAGGGAAGGTGGTACCAGAATGTCCACTAGGTTCCTATGGGAACTCTTCTCCCCATCTCTTCCCCCTATTGTACAATCCACACTCAACTGGCTGTCTTCCTGAATCTGTACTCTCTCTCCTCTTCTGTCCATAGATTGGTCTAAGCCATCTCTTCACCCCACCTAAAAGGCATCTGTCAGATCTAGGTGGTGAGGCAGGGGATCCCCCTCCCACTTCATGGCCAGCCCCATGCCCTTTCATGTTGCTCCTCCTACTGTGAACTTGTAAAACATCTTGTTTCTTCAGAAGGAAGGAAAACCATCACAGCCCATTCACCTCAGAAAAGGGTCTGAGTGGTTGTGGTGGAAATGAAGAATGCCATTTGTCTGGACATGAGCCAAGTAAAGGGATCAGGGGATCAGGATTTGGACCCCTCATTCTTTGCCTGTACTCACCATCCCTGCCTTGGGTGTCACATATAGACACACACATACATACACGCACGCACGCACGCATGCACAAGCACAGGCAGACTTAGAGACATGAATCCTTTGGTTCTTTCTTGGTGATTCTACTGATTGGCAGGAGAAATTCAAACCAGTGAAATTAATTAATCTCTAAAATTAAACCTTACACTGAATGTTCTCATTCCTCTGATGAGGAAGTCTGCTAGCAGTGCACACACATGCACACCCACACATTCACACTCTTGCACAGAGATGGAATCCAACTCACAGTGGCACAGGCACACAGATGGGCCGGGCACCGATAAGCTGTGGGACTCACCCATGCACACTCCCCACTGGTGCTGTGCTAGGCTTTGGCTGGATGACAGGCAGCTCCAGCCATCCATCTCCCCAAACACCTTGCCCTAGGGATTTGCCTGACTGACACATCTCTGTGGCTTTCTGTCCAGGGAGGGAACTCACCCCCTTCTCTGGGCTTCCATGACTGGGGGAAAGGGTAACAGGATGGGGAGGATTGTCATTTCTCCATTGGTTTCTTTGACAAACACCAGGAGGGGCAGGAAAGGGAGAGCTTGCTTGTTTCCTAGCCCTCCCCACACCCTAGGGTAGGTAGACAGGGTGGTGGCAACCCTGGGAAGATGGAGGCAGTGGGACGCAGGCATTTACTAGCCACACACATCTGTAAAGCTCGGTGTGGTGGGGATAAGGGCTAGGGGTTGCAAGAGGTGGGTAGGACAGTGCTCTGTCCATTGGGTGCATCACGCTGTGGCCTTTCTGTTAAGGATCTCCAAGTGAAAAGATTGTATAAACCAAACATGGAAAAATAAAGTTTTCAGATGACTCACTGACTTCCCTCAACAGCTTGGTACCTCCTTCCTTCCTCCTCAAATTCCTGCCCTGTGCCATATATTCCATTTACAGCCTTTTTGGATATGCAGCAGGTAGCAAAGTAGGACCTTGGTCTAGATTTAGGGAATGCCACTTAAGCCTCTCCACCCAGAGATTTTCTCCCTTCTAAACCCTGCTCTGCTCTCACCCTTTGAGAGGGTGGTGTGTGTGTGGGGGGGGGAGGAATATATATTATCCCATACTATCCCTTCCTCCATATAATTATCACCTAGGGATAGTTCCCTCTACCCTCAATCAGCCCTGTTCCTCCACTGTCTATGAGAGGTGGCTTAGGCAGGGAATGACTCAGGACAAGGACAGAACTGAAGGCAGGAAGGTGGTCTTGGCTGTGGCAGGGATGGCAGATGGCAGCCAAGCACCAGGCCCCAAAGGAGCCAACTCTGGTTGTATGTGTGCAGGTTGGAAGATGTGTTCATCAATGCCTCCTATGGGGAACAGGGTAAGGAATCAGGGCTCAGCACAGAGGTAAGGGAGGCAGAGGGACAAGGAAGAAGAGGCGGCAGCTGACAGGAATGCGGGCCCAGATGAGAGACATATTCATAGCCTATAGATGTCTCCTGAATTCTCCAACTCCCCTCCAGAGTTCTCCACCCATCCTAGGTTTGTAAAGACTTCACTTCTTCCAAGTACCCCCAGCTTTCCTGTCCCGCGGTAGAGCTGGGCACTTCCTTGCTCCTAGCCAAATCCATAACCACAATCCCCTTCCCTAATTTCTTACCAGATTTTTCCCTTTCTTTTTCTATTGCCAAGCCTCTTCCTCTTTTAACCATCCTCTCCTTCGCTCTTTTCCCATTTCCACCCCCCCAAAACACTGGCCTGGGGGTGGGGAATGGGAGCTGAAGATGGGAGCAGGAGTTCAGGGGCTTTATTAGATTATCTTAGGGATGAGGCTGGTCAGTGGGCAAGGGAATGGTGGGGTCAGTGAGTGGGGAAGGGGGGACTGAGAAGTAGGCGGACGCCTCAGATGCCAGTCACCTTTCCCTTAATCTGCAGCGTTGTTGATATGGTTAACTGTTATATGACAACAGGTAGGCTGCAAGGTCCGAAGACGGGCAGCCTCTCGGTTGGCATTGAGGGCCACGCTTATGAGGTATTCACTCTCCTGGCCAATCTCAGACATCCTCAGGTCAAACTCCATCAGGGTCTTGTTGTCCGACATGCCCTCCAAGAGCTGCTTCCCACCGTCCTGGGCCATGGGGTGTGAGGAAGAGAAGATGAGAAGCAGGGGGAAGGTTGCATTAGAGAGGCTTTGTTCTTGGGGGTACCCATCTTCTAAGAGGTGACAATGTGAGACTTTGGGCAAGATACTTCCCCTTTGGACCTATTTTCTGTAGAATGAGGAATTTGGAATCCATAATATCTGAAGACCCTTCCAATCTAAATCTCATGACTCTATGACAATATGAATCTACAAAGTGTCCTCTAGCCCTCCTCTCTTCCTCCAACCATTCTCCTCCTCTGCCACCCTTGTTGGTTTGGTCTATTTGGGTTGGCATTAAATTTAAGGCATCTGTAGCACTGAGTGATGCTGTACCCTCTCACCACTGAACCTTTGCCCAGCTGCCCCCTTGCCATCCCTTCTTGCTGACTTACCAGACCAATGTGGTTGCAGGAGAGATTGATGCAGGTCAGAGCGGTATTGACAGACAGCACCTGGGAGAACACAGTGGCCGTGGGCTCAGATAGTTCATTGCCCCCCAGGTGCAGGTTGGTGAGGGTTGAATTGCTCTGCAGGGCATGGGCCAGGGCCTGCCCACCCTCATCCTCAATGCAGTTGAGGCGAAGGTTGAGGGAGAGGAGGGTGGTGTTGTAAGACAGAGCATGTGCCAGTGCCTGGGCCCCCAAGGCTCTGATTTTGTTGTTGGCCAGCTTGAGGATTTGCAGGTGGCTGTGGTTGATCAGCTTAGCTGCAGCCCGCACGCCTCGGTCCCCAATATTGTTGTGTGAGAGGTCTAGCTCTAGAAGGGCTGGGTGGTCCATGAGACTTCGAATCAGGACACGAGCCTTCTCATCATCCACCTTGCTCCGAGTCAGTTTGAAAACCTGAGGGAGCAGAACAGTTTCCTGGAGGTAACTGGGTGGGAGCTTGTCCTATCTGTTCTTTCTTGGAAGAACTGGGGGTAGGGAGGGAAGCAGTGATTGGAGTCTAGCCATTCTGTCTCATAATCTGACTTCTGGAAATCAGGCTGGGCGGGTGGAAGGTATAGGATGGGGGCTGGGGGATGGGCAGAACTAGTTAAGATTTCCCTAGCTCATAGATAGGTTGGTGACAGTGGATAGAACACCAGCCCTGGAGTTAGGAGGACCTGAGTTCAAATCCAACCTCAGACACTTACTAGCTGGGTGACTCGGGGCAAGTCACTTAACCCTGATTGTCCTTCCCCCCAAAAAATATTTCCCTAGCTTGCTAAAGGGAAGTATTCTTAGTGGATGGAGTGTTGGATTTGCTTTTGGGAAGATTTGGGTTCAAATCTGGGATCATGAGCAAGTCTCAACCTCTCTTAGTCTGTTTCCTCATTTATAAAATGAGGATAATAGCCTACTGTGCCTACTCACAAGGTTGTTGTGAGACTCCAATGAATTAATGTTTGAAAAGTACTTTGCAGATATAAATATCAGTTCTTATTATTAAAAGTAAGGGCCATGATTCTCCACTGAGACCTCACTGTGGTATGGAGAGGAACCTAAGGTCCTCTGGAAAGGGCCCTGGTTTTGAAAGCAGAGGATCTAAGTTCAATGCTTACTCTTACTCTTTTTTTTTTTTTTGGTGAGGCAGTAAGTGAGTTGCCCAGGGTCACACAGCTAGTAAGTGTCAACTGTCTGAGGTCACATTTGAACTCAGGTCCTCCTGACTCCAGGGCTAGAGCTCTATCCACTGAGCCACTTAGCTGCCACTCTTCTTATTCCTACTCTTACATCTTATCTGATGCTTATTCCCTGTATGAACTTGGCTAAGTTATCTTCCCTTCCTGGCTCCTGTAAAATGAGGGAGTTAGATGCCTCAACCAGCATCTGGCTTCCCTTCCAATTCTAGATGTGGGATATTGGGAAAATGCTGGGAGGTCTTACCATGGGAAAAAGGCTTTGAGTAATGGGTCTAGAGCTTATGTCCCAGGACTAACCTCTCTATGTTGGAAGAAGCTCATGAAATTTTTTTGAACACACTTACTGTGGAAGACCATTTCTTAAGTAGTAATGGGGATGAAGTCTGGACTGGTGAGAGGAATAGCAACATAGAGACAAGATCAAAGCTCTTGAAGTGTTCATATACTAGGGCCAATCCTGGAAGGGGGAAGTTTTCTCTCTCTTGATCTGTGCGTGCATGTCTATATGTGTGTATGTGCATGTGTGCATGTGTATTGTGTGTATATGCATACATGTGAACATGTATATTGAATGCATGTGTGTATTGTGTATGTGTGTACTGTGCATGTATGTGTAGTACAGCATGGGAAAAAGTCAAGAGAAGGTGATAAGAGGAAGGAAAGAGAAGGGAAAAGGAAGTGAGGAATAAATAGGAGGGAAAAAAGGCCAATAGGGAAGAGAAAAAAAAGGGAAAAGGAGATAGCAGGAAGGATGAGAAAAGGATCATAGGACCATAGATTTACAATAACAGTAGCTAGCATCTATCTATCTATTTATCTATCTATCCATCTATCTATCCACACACACACACACACATACACACACAGGGTTTTGCAAAGGGCCTTACATATACTGACTCATTTGACTCTACAACAGTCCTATGAATTAGGTGCTATACTTATCCTCATTTTGCAGATGAGGAAACTGAGGTTGAGGGAGGTTGTTGCCTTGGGCATCCTGCTCCAGGTAGAAAAGTAACTTGCACACAGATGGTAAGGAAGACTTTGAGCTGGAAGGGACCTTAGAGGCCCTCCACCCCAAACTCTCTATTTTACAGATGAGAGCACTGAGGCTCAGAGTGTCTGTGGTCACACAGCTGTAGAGTATCTAAGGTAAAATTTGAACTCAGATCTTCCTGACTCCAAGTCCAGTCCTCCATCCCCTACAATCTGCTGCATCTCAATAGGAACATAGAAAGATGGGGGAAAGGAGGAATAGGAAGGTTTGTGATTGAATGAGGAAAAGAGAAAGGAAGAGAATAATCAGTAACAATAATAATAACGATGATAATAATAATAATAGAACAGTATAATCTAACCTGGGGTTGTCACTTCCCTTCATATGTCAAGGGTTGTTATGGAAGAGCTCTGAAGTCACAGGCATAAACCCATGCATTTAGAACTGGAAGAGAACCTTCCATTTCATAGACGAAGAAACGGGGGTGGGGGGGGTGGGGGGGGCAGGCAGCTAGGTGGATGGAGCACCGGCCCTTTAGTCAGGAGGACCTAAGTTCAAATCTGGCCTCAGACCGAACACTTGACACGTACTAGCTGTGTGACCTTGGGCAAGTCACTTAACCCCAATTGCCTCACCACAAAAAAAAAAAAAAAGAAAGAAAGAAACAGAGGCCAGGAGAGGTGAAATAATTTGTCTCCAGTCCCAGCTAGTTAATGGCAGAGTCAAGATTCAAACCCAGGTCTTCTGATTCTAAATCCACCATTTCAGTCCTTTGTTCCCATAGTCTGTTCAGCCCTGACATTCTGTAGGTCTGTGGGGGAAAAAAAGGGTGGGGGGAGAGGGAAAGGAACGGGGTTTCACCACCTTGAGGGTGTGACAAGCCTTAATGGTGGAAGCCAGGGAGAGGCAGTCTCGGGTGGTGAAGAGAAAGAGGTTCCATTCGAAGTTCATGCCGCAGTCCTTCACTCCGAACACCAGATCGAGCTCTTCCAGCCGCCGGAGCCCGGCCACCAGTTGCCCCAGTTGATAGTGGTCCATGCTGAACTCCTCCACCTCAGTCTCGCTGGCTGAGTCTGACTGCTCCATTTCCTGGATCTGCTGTTCCAGCTTCACAGGGGGCAGGAACTGGTCCACGCTGAGCCTGACCACGTAGTCCTGGCACAGAGGCACCAGCTCCAGAATCACTCTGGGGTCCGTGGTCCCCGGGATGAAGTATTTCAAGAGGTCTTGGAGGTGCCTCTCGAAGAACATTCGTTTCCAGCTGTTCCCATACTTCTCCACGTGTCCCACCGCCCAGCGCTGGTTGCAGCGGCGGCGCCAGTAGCTCTCGTCCGTAACCAGGTTGGCGACCACCTTCAGGGGCAGGTCAGTGGAGAGGCGGTCCAGCACCCTCCGCTGCTGGATTGGATTGAGCTGGGTGAGTACAGGATTTTCTGTGGAGAGGAAAGGCAGAGTAGAACCAAAGGCCATCCTATTTGTAATCAGTGGGTCAACAGGCATTTATTATGCTCCTACTAGAGGCACAGGGGTAGGGAGGGGGAGGGGGAGATGGTGGAGAGAAGCTTATAGTGAATGAGTGGACAGCGTTGGACTCAGGAAGAGCTGAGTTCAAACTTAACCCTGGGCAGTCACTTAACTTCTGTCTGCCTCAGTTTCCTCATTTGTAAAATGAGGATAATAATAGCACCTACTATATGCTAGAATAATAATAATAATAATAATATAATAACAACATAAGGTGATATACCTAAAGTGATTTGCCAGCCTTATAAATATGTTACCTATTCTTATAGGCTATGAGAATGCCATAAAAGTGAGAGTTTCTGCCTTCAAAGAACTTATATTCTTAGATGTTCACAGATAAGAAAATGTATATATAAAACAAAAACAAAGTGGTTGGCACGGGGCACTAGCAACTGGGAGAATCTGATTTTTAAAAAAATTTAAATCTGCTTCTATTTTATCTGCCAAGGAGAATAATTATTTTTAAATTAAATTTTATTTTTTAATGAACAAAAATTCCACTTCTGTCACTCCCACGTCCTTCCCCATTCCATAGAAAAAGAAAGAAAAACAAAACCCCTGTAACATATAGGCATAGTCAAGCAAAACAAATTTCCAAATTGGTCACATACCAAAAATATATACCTCAATCTGTACTCTGATGTCACTGCAGGAATTTGGAAAGGACTCTTAGGCTGAGCCTTGAAGGGAGCTAGGGATTTTAAGAAGAAAACTTTCTAGGCATGGAGGGAAAGCCTATACAAAATGCAATGTCCAATGTATGGGGAACAGCAAATAGGCCAGTTTGATTGGATAATAGGTGATAGGCTGGGAAGAGAACAAAGGGAATAATAAAACACCTGCTATGTGCCAAGCACCATGTTAAACACCTTTACAAATATCTCACTTGATCCTCACAACAACCCTGTGAGGTAGGTGCTATTATTATCCCCATTTTATAGTTGAGGATCCTGAGGCAAACCAAGGTCAATCAGATTGTCCAGGCTTACAGTTTCACACATGTCCAAGGTCATATTTGCACTCGGGTCTTCCTGACTCTAGGCCCAGCATTCCATCCATTGCCAGTCGCTGCCTCAGGGACCCAATCCCTGCATCTGGATGTCTCTAATTGGGAAAACTGCTAGATTTCTCCCTAATCTAAAAAGATCAAAGTCTCCCTCAGGATACTGACATCTTTGGTCTTAATTAACACTTGAACAACCTCAAACTAGAAATTCTGCCCATACTTCAATTTTTAATCTCCTATTACTTTTTGTCTTCTTGCCTTCTTTCTTTCTATGCCAGACATACTACACAAATCTGAGCATACTTTCCCCCTCCTTTTCTTCTAGGATTTACTTATTCACAGGTAAAAGAGTAATATAAATTCAGAAATATCACAACAGGCCACTGGAAATCAGAAATCTGTACAGAAGAAATATACCCAGTGTACAAAGTATAGCTCTATTTCTTATTAATTTCTTCCAGTTCAGCTAAAAATCTCCTATCAAGGAGGATTAGTAAAGATATCACCAGAGTGGGGTATAGTTAATTAGGGAAGGCTTCCAAGAAGAAGCAAGCTTGCTTTGAACTGTTTTGTTTTGACCCAGGGTCTCCCTAAGTGGACCATGCTGAAAGTGGGGTAGCTCTGCAGAGGCCCAAACTTGGTACTGGTCTTGAAGGAAGGTTTACCCTGCTCTCTTTTTCTGACCTAGGCCTGTCAAAATAGTTACTGCCCTCAAGGAGCATAGAAATCCTAAGATCATAGATGGAGATCAAGAAAGGATTTCAGAAGTCATCTCATCCAACCCACTTCATTTTACATCTGAGGAAACTGGGTGATGGGGGCAGGATTTGAACCCAGGTTCTTCAACTTCCAATCCAGCGCTCTTTCCATTGTATGACAAATGTCGGGTCATATGATCGTGGGACTCCAGATGCAGAGCTGGAAATGGTGGAAAAGACCTTAGAAGCCGTCTAGTCCAGTCCCCCTCATTTTACAAATAAGAAAACTAAGGCCAAAGGAGGTTAAGTGACTGGCCTAAGGTCACAGAGACAGTAGATGTTAAAGGCAGGGTATCTCGGTGTACCCTCAGTTCACTCATTAGATCACTTCCAACTCATCCTTTGCTCTCGCTGTCAAAATTTTTCCTGACTCCCAACATAGATCATTCCTCTTCTCCAATACTTCTTCTGCCAGCTTCTCCTTTGAAACTCAGATTTCAGGGGAGATAGGGCAAGGGTTGATCAAGAGCAGAAGGGAGGGAATTATAGGCAAGCGGGAAAGGCTGTGAAGGCAACAATTAAGACATGTTCCAGGCCCAGGGAGTACACTGGTTTGACTACGGTAGAGGGTGTTTATGTATTTACTTTGCTACATGTTTTAGTAGTTTGCTCCCACTAATATACTGGCTTGTAAGGACTGTTGTGTTTTTCCTGTTGATACCAGGATTCCTGAGATGGAAGTAATTTTGTCTTTTCCATGAGCCTGAGAGTTCCTGAAAGGCAGAAACAGTATCTATCCCATCAGACTGGGAGTGCCTTTGTAGACAGGGCCTAGCTTTTTTTTTTTTTTTTTTGCTTTTTGGTGAGGTAGTCGGGGTTAAGTGACTTGCCCAGGGTCACACAGCTATTAAGTATCAAGTGTCTGAGGCCCAATTTGAACTCAGGTCCTCCTGACTCCAAGGCCAGAGCTCTATCCACTGTGTCACCTAGCTGCCCCCACAGGGCCTAGCTTTCTTGTCCAACTGGAAACTCTCTAAAGGTAGGGACTGTATCTCTCCCGTTATACTGGGAGTTATCTGAAGCTAGTTTAGCTTTTCCTGGGACTGGAAAACTTTCCAGAGTGGCCAAAAAATTTCTTCTGAGCCATACACAGATCCACTAAAAGTTTCATCTAATTTCAGTCCTGATGGTTATGGCGGGGTGTTATGAAGTGAGGATTGTTGAGAATGTTAGCCGCTGAGTCTGCAGGAAGCTGAGAGCTGGGGAGAGTCCCAGGGTCAGGAGTGGAAACCTAGGGAAACAGTCTTTGAATGCCCTAGTTAAGAACCTTTCCTTCCCTAACCTGATAGGGCACATCTCTAGGAGGCCATGGCACAATATCCAAGGACAGTGACCATTGCCACAGATCCCCTTAGCCTCCACCTCCCAGTTGCGTCGAGGGTAGCCTCCCTGGGGTAAGTAGGGATAGATGGCACTTACTTTCAAAGTTGCTGACAATATGCTGTAAGCAGAGTTCAGAGAGCCTGGGCACGATGGTCAGGGACCATTCTGGGTCCTCTGCAATGATTCGACGCATCCTCCGTGTGTTGGAGGCTGGATTTGATACTGAAATCTTCGATGGTGGGGGGATTGCCATGGTTACCTGGGAAGAGGCTGGGGCTGTGACACAGAGTTCAGTGGTTTTGTATCAGGAGACTCCTTAAGCAGAAAGAGCCAGAAATGAGTGGCTGCTGAGGTCCTAGGGCAAGAGACATTGTTAGTGTCAATAGCTGGCACATTGCAGGTACCCATAAAATGCTTGATGATAATGATGGAGATGGAGATCAAGCTGGGCTGTGGCCAATGGGGCATTGAAGCAGAGAGCTTAGCAGCCATCCTGAGTCTTCTTTAGGCCAGTCCAGGATACAGGAAAGGCTGGAGGGAGAAGAGTGGGCACCAAAATGGGAGGGAAAGGGGCTGAGGGAAATAAGGGGAGGCTAGGGGAACATGGGTACACCGAGGGAAAGGTAGGGGGTGGGAGTTTGTGGATCCTTACATTTTGGGCTCAGTCTATGATTTCACCAGGATAGGAAGCTGGGCTGAGGAACTCCCCCTTCCAATGCAGACTGATTTCTTCTCTGTACTTTACAGTTTGAGAGACTGGCCCGGGGGTACTGAGAGGTTAAATAGCTTGCCCAGGGTCACAAGAGTATGAGTCAGATCAGACTTGACCTTAGGTCTTCTGGACCCTGAAGGGAGCTCTCTATTCACTGCACTACACTGTCTTTCACCTTAGCATTAAAGAAGGGAATTTCTATATTCTTAGGTAAATAGGGGTTGTATCACCAAAGGATAACACTTAAATGTGACTAAACTTTAAAGTTGAATAGAGGATTCCTTTAGTTAGGTGTTTGGTTTGACAGAAGTTTGCTTACATGATTGAAGGAGATGGTGGGAAGGGGGTGTATGTGGCTGATGGGGATGGGGAGAGGGGACAGGATTGAGTGCTGCTAGGTGGGAAAGTCTCAAGCAATCTGGTTGAGATCCACTGCAGAATAGTCTTTGAGAGGGAATCCCATTGCCTTTATGGGTGTACATGGGAGCATATCTGTGCCTGTGGAGGCAAGTGTATCTACAGTCTTTCTATATGCAAAGATACACAAATCTCCAGCCCTTCATCTCCCACCTCTGTGTCCAAGTCTCTTAGGATAGAAGAGAAGGTTCTTCCTCCTACATCTTTCCCCTAAACTGGGCTCCGCTTCTCCCCTCTTACTATGGGCTTGGCTTTATGGGTTAGAATAGAGCCAGGCCCGTGATCTGGTTGGATGGTCACAGATCCTGCCCCAGAGTCCAGAGGCTAGTCTCAGGCCAGAGAAGCTGCCTAGGTCAGGCCTGCAGAACCCTTTTCTCTTCATTTCTTTCATGGGCTATGGTCCAAAGCATTTCCTTTCTCTAGCCTCATCCTTTTAGAGTTAGATTCTGACTCAAAACTGCCAATCAATCAATCAATCAATCGAGTATTTATTCAGCACCTACTATGTGCCAGACACTGATTGAGATGCTGGGAATTTGGGTAAAAAGAATGAAATGATTCCTATTCACAATGAGCTAACATTCTAAGCTCAGCTTTCTGGCTTAGGAGTGAGGACAGGGGAGTGGGAAGAGTAAGGGAGGGTCACTTCTGTCTCACTGACCGCTTGCCTGCTCATGTTTGGATCCTGAGCTAGAGTTCTCCTTGAGAATGGGTTACAGGAGAGAAGGGGTGGGAAGGAGGGAGGGGAGGGGAGATGGCAGGAAAGGAGGCCCCTGATTTCCTCTTCTTTCCCGACAGACTCTCAACATTCTAGACAACAGCAGGCACGCATTGGCAGTGAAAATCGAAGTAAATCTGGGTCTGAATTTCGGGGGATGTGATTGTAACATAAGGGTATCCTCCTTTGTCTACACACTGACACCTTTCCAGATTTGCTTGTGGGGATCCCTGTCCCAAAGACAAGGGCTGGAGCTGGGACAGAGGCTGGAGTAGTTAGGGCCCCTGTGCCCTCCGCCCCAAGTCTCCAACTGCTTGCCTGGGCTGCTTTTGAATCTGCTCCTTGGCTTCCTGCACGGCAGGGAGGGCTCCTTTGAACCAAGCCACTGTACTCCCTGGCAGAGAAAGCACAGCAGATGGTGTTACCCCCCTGTCTAGCCCCACTCAGCGGCTCAGTGCTGGATGAAGCACAGGTCCCTTCCTCTGTGGCCCTGCTAGGCAGCCGTTCAACCACCTGAGGAAGGGGATTGACCCTGAGGAGGCTAGAGGGGAGATGATTGGAAGGCCTATAGGAGGGATTGATCATCTGTGAGGCAGAGGCTCTATTCCTGCAGGAGGAGGAAAGGGGAGGAGCTGGGGTTGGGATTTTTGCACTTTGATGCTCAGAGTGGAAATGAAATTCAGATTCATGCAAATTAGAATACAACATATTTAACTAACCAGCCTAAACAACTTGAATGACAAGACTGTGGGGACATAGTGGGGTGGGGGTGGGGGAAGATTGGGTCTATGTGTGGAGAATGAGGTTTATGAGTGAATGGGATCTGTAAATGGGGATTGGGCCTTTTGAAGGAGGATGATGGCTCTGAGAAGGGATGGAGTTTGAGGGTGGGATGGATTCTGTGAAGAGGGATGGGGTTTATGAAGAGATGAGGTCTGTGGAGCGAGGGGGTCTGTTGAAATAGGTTGGGGCCTCTGAGGAAGGGTGGGTTCTGTGAAGAGGGATAGGGTTTATGAAGGTAGGAGGTTTACGAAGGGGGTCTATTGAGGGATGATGGGGCTTGTGAGGATGGTTAGGGTCTATGAAGAGGGATAGGGCCTCTGAGAGAGGATGGTGTCTCTGAGGGAGGACAGGTCCTTTAAGGAGTGAAGAGGTCTTTGAGGGGGATGGGGGTTTTCAGGTCAAGCCTGGAATACCTGGAGTGGGTGCTCTCCTAGCCTCCAGGCTCCTGTGGTACCTATTCTGGCTTGGGTCAAGGGCCCATGAAGGAGGGTGTGGTCCCAAAGGAGATGAGAGAGGCAGAGAGCGGGTTAGGAAGCTCAGCAGTGCCTGGCTCTGAGTCATCTTCAGTAGGCACAAGGCAGTTCTGTTCCAGCCTGGAATCTTTCTCTGAGGTCCAAACCTCTTCCCAGTATGTGAATGCCTTCTAGGGGATGGCTAAGGGGAGGTTATCCAAACTTAACCTTTCCTCCTAACACAGCCCTGCCTGGATCTTTCAATTTGGGGGAACCAAGGCCAGTCCAGCAACTGCCAGTAGGCATTTATTCACTCCTGTGGGTGACCAGATGTCCTAGTTTGGCTGATGATCTTGATTTTCAATGACCTGCATTGGATAGACAAATGTCTTCTCAGTCCGTTATCTAACTGCTGACAAACTGAGGTTCTAAGAGACAGAGGTAAGGAGGGAGGGCATAGGGTGGCAAAGGTATGAAGATGGGATATGTAATATCTTATGCAAGGAATAGGAAGTAGGCTAATATGATTGTGGAGGGGAGTAATGTATACAAACGTTGGAAGGATGGGATGGGACCATCCCCTTCTCTCTGTTCACATGGCTACCACCCCATGAGGTCAGGCCCTAACCACCATTTGCATCAGATGTTGCAATAAATGTTGCATTATTTTCCTATAAGGAGGGATTTTCCCCTGACTAGTTTCCACAGAAGGAAGGATTTCTTAACAAACAAAGCCATCCAAAAATGCCTTCTTATCCTTTGTGACCCTTACTCTTATCTTCCCATAAATTCTTCTCAGGGAGGAGTTCTCTCTTCACGTGCTGGGGCATTTCTTCATGTGATATGGCACCAATAAACCACAAGCATTGTACATCGATTATCCTCCATACTTATGAAATCACTGGCCCACCATTCCCCATCATATATCTTTCTGTTGATATTTTCTGTGCTTCTCGGGTACAGTTGCATTCTACCCATGCCAAACAATAATTTCTCTCTTGCCTTTTGGGTGACCTGCAACTTTACTTCTTCCGAAATTGTAGTAATCTCTGGAAGCATAAGGATGTTAAAATGACAGACCTTTGTTTCAAGAAGCACTTTACCATTTCTCCAAAGTAATCCAGGTCTTCTTTCCTCCTCCTATTCTCCTCTTTCTCTGGGCCCAGTTTGCTGTTAATCCAAATTTCCTGTTCGAGATATATATCCTGATGACCCAACTTTATGAGCTGTTGATCCATCTGCATATAGTGGAGATAACAGACAATCTTCATCCCTTTTGTTTTTGCTGACTGGATCATTAAGCTGAATTCTTTTTGAGGGACTGTGGAGCTCACATGGTGGGCCTTGTGGTGTTCTGGATGTTCTTGATGGGATCAACACAATATCATTTGCAAACAGGACCTTGCCATATGTAAGGTATACTTCTATTTGGACTCTACACTGGGTGGCAAACTTTCTTAAGCATTTCTCCCTCTGTTTAGTTCTCACTTGATACTGATAATCAGAGGGTTGTTAATCTCTATTTACCCTAAGTGGGCTTAATAGCTAAAGTTATTCATACCATATAAGAGGTTATTTATAGTTTAAATGTATTTCTACTTGAGTACAGAGGCCAACCTATGGATCCTTTAAATTTATATAGCTTGTTAGTCTCCACTGGGACACAGGGCTCTCTGTTTATCTTGGATGCCATAGTTAATGATTTTAACAATACTTTCTCCCTAAAATACCTCATTCCTATGCCTTCTTAATTAATGTTCAAACTTAGGTCACTCCCGTAGCTTGCTTTCCCCATTCTTTCTGGGCTGGAGTTGCTACAGAAAATCAGGTTGATACAACATGATCTACATTTGTGAGATTGACTTCCACGGCATACTTACTGTTCCTGGACAATCCTAATATTAATTTCTTGTTGATTTTCCAGTACTGTCCCCCACAGTGATTCTAGATCTTCAATGCTAAATATTCCTTCCCTTCTTTCTCTTTTCCCAAGATGACCTCACTTCCTGCTTAACTGGGACAATAGAAGTGAACAGGCTTGAGCACCCTCCCTTTCCATTCATTACCTGACTTCTTACCTGACTCAGAGGAGGAAATGTTTCTTCTTCATTTCTAAGTTTAACTTAGTGCCTTTGACCTCTATATTTACCTGCTTTTTCTGAAGCTTTGCTCAGGCAACTATCTAGTATCTCAACTTTATCTTTATTCTCTTTCTTTCCAATGGTTCATTCCTCTCTGCCTATAAACACGCATACATCTCCCTAAAATCTTTCTGCCTTGTAACATTGATGTCTCTGCTGCCCTTAACACCTCCTCATACTTTATCTCCTAGAAATCTGAGCTCTGTCACACTCTAAAAATGTTTTCTTCAAAGTCATCGACAACTTCCTGATTGTGACATCCAACAGCCTTTTTACATAACATTCCTTTCTTGGCTTCTCTGACATTGCTATGTAATGCCTAGCACACTGTACTTGAAATCAGGAAGACCTGTGTTCAAATGTCTCTGATACTAGCTATGTGACCATGGTTAAATCACTTAACCTATCTTTGGTTTCTTCATCTGTAAAATGAAAAGTTGGATTTGTGGGCCTCTAAGGTCCCTTCCAGCTCTAAATCTATGATCTTTCCTGACTCTCCTCCTACCTTTCTAATTGCTCTTTTTCTGGTTCCTCTTCTTCTTCCTCCTGTCCTCCAAGACTCTGCCATTGACTCTCTTCTCTCTCTACACTCTGAGATCTCATCTACTCTCATCTGCTCACCTCTGAGCAGATGACTCCCAAACCTTTATCTCTAGCCCTGACCTTTTTCCCAAGTCCTAGTTCCACATTTTAAACTTGCTTCTGGACCTCTTTACTTGCATGTCCCACCCATATCTCAACCTTGATATGCTAAAAATGAATACATCCTCTAAACTTGTTTCCTTGCCTAATTCCCCTAAGATACTATTATGGGAATGGAAGAGAAGGAGCACATTTAGGTGATTCTTGACAAACTAGGGTTGACTGCAATTGGGTTAACACTAGCAGAACAGAATAAGCATTTCTACAACATCTACTATGTGCTGCCACTATGCTAAGTGTTTTACAAATATTACCTCATTTGATCCTCACAACAACCCTGCAAGGTAGGTGCTGTTATTTTATAGTTGAGGAAACTGAAGCAAACAGAAGCTAAGTGACTGGTCCAGGGTTATGTAGCTACCAAGTCTCAGAGGCCAGATTAGAATTTGGGACTTCCTACGTCCAGGCACACCACTCTATCCACTGTAACCAACTAGTTGCCTCCCACCAGACACTATAACCAAGCAGAGCTGCGATCTGATGAAATAATCAACATAACTTGTGGGGAGGACTGTGTGGGGATGGGAGCGAATCAGTGAAGGCACAGTCAAGGCACAGTCAAGGCACATGGGACACAGCCTAAGAGTTATCACCAAGTTATATCTTGTTTTTTAAAGTAGCAGGACAAGGGGCAGAAAGGGAAGGAATGAGGAACGTATGGAATCAGGGAAGGTATCTGCATCTAGTCCACTGCTCCTATTTGACAGATAAAAAAACTGAGGTGCAGAGAAGGGCAGTTAATTTCCCAGAGTTACACAGCTGGTCCAGTAAGAATCTCAACTCACATCTCTCAACTCCAAATCCAGAGCCTTTTCTACTATGCCATGTTACTTCCTGTGAGTCTTTGTTCTTCCTTCTCCTTCCCATCCTCCAGAATACTTGGGCTTGGTGTTTCTCAGTCTAGCGAAATTGCTCATAAAAGTGACAGCAACACACGTTTATACAACACATCAGAATTTACCAAGTGCTTTCCTCTCAATGGTGTCTATAACACCGATATAATTCCCATCACACAGATGAGACAACGGGCTGAGAAGCTGAATGATTTGCCAAGGTCACAGGCTCGAAATGGACACAGCTGAGACACACTCAGGTTTCCTGCCTTCCGTCCCTGGCCCTTTCCAGGACATTACACTGTGAATGCAGGTTACCCTGTCCCCTAGGCTTATGGCTCCTGCTCAAACCTGCCTTCGGCTTCGGCAAGCCCAAATCCGGGACTGACCCAGAATGAATGAGTGTATTTTGTTTTGTTTTGAACCCTCCTCACTCTGCCTCAAATACTGGTTAACTCCTACTGGGCTTTTCCTCTCAGCCTTCTGCTTTCTAAAGGTCATTGCAGTGCCTGTCCACCCATCCTGTGAGGAGAAAAGGATGCAGCAGCCTACTCTAATCAAGGGAAAGAGACTGCAGGGAGGGAAGCTGGGAAAAGAAAGCCTGGGTTCCCCAAAGGGGCCTCTGTCCCAAGGGACGTAGAAGCAGAGCAGGAACAGGACAGTGGCATAAGTATTAATGATGTCCCCAGGTCCTTTTCTCCTTCCTTCTTCCACATGCAGCCCAGCCCTCCCCATGACATTGTTAAGTAAATAATCACTCCCTGGGGACAAGGGAACTCGGGTATCTTTCTTCAGCTATGAGGTGATCTCAAGTGGCTGATGCTGGGGCTACCAGGTCTTCCTCCTTCCTCCCCCTGCCCCCCCCAGAGGGAAAAGGAATCAGTTTGGGGAAACCATACCACCAAGAGAGTAAGCCATGAAAGGCTATCCTAAAGAAGAGACCAGAGAGTTAAGGGTGGAGACAGGGGCAGAGCAGGATTCTTTTATCCAGGGGGAGACAGAGGAGGCGGCAGGAGGAGGGGACGGGGTGGGGTGGGTAGAGGAGACACAGATCTGGACAGGGCGAATGACAGGGACATAGGCATTGAGGGGAGCAGGGCACAAGGACATCAATCAGCCTCCCATCCCCAAGGTCTCCTCACCAGCTGCCTCGGTCGCCTTCAGTTTAGTTGGGACCCTCTGCCTGGCTCTGTCTCCAAGGAGACGCCTCCCCTCCCCCCAACCGGAAGGCTCTTTGCATTGGTTGCTATGCACGCAGGCTGTTGTTAAGGGAAGGAGAGTGAGCGTGTGTGTGTGTGTGTGTGTGTGTGTGTGAGCGCTTGTGCAATTTGTCCAGTCTTAGTTTACTGCATGATGTATACACATATATGTGCAGTGTGTACTTATATGCTTTGTCCCTCTCTGAACACACACGCTTCTCATGGGACCGTGTGCAATTTATTCTTTTGTGTGTGAGGGGCTGACTGTAGAACTCATCTGGCTTTTCCCTCCCCTTTAGGATGAGATTAAGGTTTAGGAAAATGGGTGTTGCCAGGATCTCTTAAGGTCCCTTTTCCTAGCAGATGAGATGGAAGACTGCACCTACTAACCCTAACCCCTGTCTTCCCCCCACTGGCCAACCTCAAGGAAAGTTGTGGAATAATTTCCATAACCAGGGATGCTCAACAAGGTGCATGTACCTCTCTCCTCCCCCACTCAGCAGTCACAATAAACCCCGGCACCTTTGTGCAGTCCTTTCCCTACAAGAGGGAAGCAGGTGGTAAATCCCAAGCCCCAGGCTCCTTCTCAGCCCAGCCCCACACAGTCCCTCTAGAGCCCTCAGCTTCTAGGATGCAAGAATGAAAAGAGGTTGTGGTCTCTGCTTCTCAGTCGCATCCCATTTTCTAGGGGGTAAGGGTGTGGCCCATGAGGTGGGTTATCTGGTTGGACAGTGGAGGGAGGGTTAAATAGTAGCATTTTTTCCTTCTTTTTCAGTGCTCCCCCCTCCCCAGTGAGCTCATGTCCTTAATGAGCTGGGGAGGGAGGAGGAGCCTGGCCCTAATAGAAGACTTGGAAACCCCAGAGGCATAGGCAGGGCAGGAGTAAACAACACAGGGGCCACGCACTGGGAACTTTGGAGAAGATTGGGCTCACAGCAGTGATTAATCAATAAATCAGTAACATCTTAATTAAAATGAGAAATCAGCTGTCAAGGAGAATGCACCATGGAGGGGCAGAGCTCCACTTGAGGAGAAGAGACCTTTAAATTACATCTTTGGATACTGGTAGGCAGGTGGCCCTTTTAAATTTTGATGCTCAGCCATCAATCCAGATCCAGTTGTGGGGACCCTGGCCTCGAAGGGGGGAGCCATCCTAGCTGGCTCCCTTGTCCCTCATTAAGGCTCCAGAGGATGCCCAGTTTCCCAAGCATTTGATGGTAGAGTCTGGAAAAGGCTGCCAGGAGACAGAAGCAAAAGACGCCTAGACTGAGGGAGGAAGAGAGGCTATCATTTCACCAGGGTGTCCTCTTGTGACCTCGGAGGGACTCAGCTGCTTGCCCTGGGGCACAAGTGGTGTTTAATCTTCCATCTGGTCTGAGCTCTTTCAGAGTGCCAGGGACTCAAGACCCTTACATTTTTAGTTCTGGAGACCAAGGGGGTTGGGCTCATGCCTGTTGCTTGCTCAGGTTTGATGCTGTCTGCACAGACACTGAGTCAGTGGTGACAGAGGTTTCAGATCCCAGGCTCAGTTCCAAGTCCCATGCCTCCCCCAGCCAGGCCTGAGGGACAAGCAGAGGTGATGGACACAAGTACTACTACTGAGCACCCTGGGCAGTCTGAGATGGGAGGGGAAAGGAAAGAGCATTCTCCTTCCCAGTAACTTTTGAAAGTTGGTCTGTCCCCTAGGAAAGCCCAGCACTGGGTGCCTGTGAACCAGGGCTGAGGAGCAGGCTGGACAGATTCATCTTCACTTGGTTGAGGGGGGTGGGAGGTGGGGGTCCTCCTAGGGTCACGGTTCAAGTTCTCCTGCCCTGCCCCACAATGGGGAAGTTGGCAAAGAGGAAGAACCAACAGAGTTGTGCCGTGGCTTTTCTTGTGCTCCTGATTCTGTCTCCATCCCTGGTTTCTTAGTCATTAGGCACTGGGGCCTCTGGCTTCCGCCCTACTGAGCTGCCCTGCTCCTCTTCACTCCAAAAGTCCTGGGTTAGAGTTGGTTGAGGGCAAAGGATCGGGCAATGCTCAGCACGGCCTCCACATCACCAGCGTTCCCCGCTCCCTGGGCCACGACTCGGGAGCCCCAGGCCTTGCCTCCCATATGGCCACACACAACCGATGCCCAGGTTTCAGCAGTGAAGGTGGGGACTGCATCCTAGGGAAAGAACAGACAGGAATTGACCTTCCTGCTGCCCCTCACCATCAGCACACAGCACCCTGGGAATCTCAGGACACCTGATCCCCAGTCGTGGTAGCTCTTATCCATAATTGGTCTTGGTAGGGAAATCATGTTAGAAGCCAGGGAGGCAGCTCTTGGGGATGAGACAGGGAGGGAAGACGAGGGAAGCTGTACTTAGTCCCAGGCGTGGGTGATTTATGCTGGTTTGCATAGCTCAGAGCTTCAGGGACCAGAGGCTCTGCCCCTGCTAAGTTATGTAGCCATAGAGCTTCAAATCATAAATAAAGTAGAATACATGGGAATACTTGTTCCACAATGGGACAGGTGACTGAAGAATACTCTCTCTCCCTTGGGTGGGCACTGTTTTTAATAACAGGAGAAATTCCCTACCCTGGGATATCTGTGAATCCCTTTCCTGTAGGTCCTACCCATCCCAACCACTGTTGGAGAAGAGACTGAACGCAGAGATGTTAGCATGCACTAGATGACCCAGAACAGACTTTCATTTTCACCATTTAACCAAGGGAGGCGAGGTGGGAGGAAGGATGGCGGCACACCTTTCCCCCGTCCACTCACCTGAGCCACCTGACAGGCACACAGGACCTTCCCTGGGGTCTGGGGACTGAGCAATAACACGGAGGTGCCAGGGACTCGCTCACACAGCTGTTTCACCACCTTCACTAGCAGCTGGGGAGGAAGGGAGAGTCATCCAGAGCCACTGTGACTCAGTGGCCCCTTCCTGCAATAATCGCATGTCTTTTCCCACTAGTATCCTCTTGACCACTGGCTCCTTTCCCTCTAAAGCACAAAGCAGTCCCTCAGTGAGATTCTCACTGCAGCCCTTCTTTTCCATGATCCTCCTCTCCCTGCCCCAGCTTCCTCTCTCCCTTTTCCTGAAGCCCATCCACTTCCTCAGTTTCCTTCCCTCCTTAGGAGGCCCCTGTCCTCCGATTCCTCCCTGTGACGCACCGAAAGGGACTCAGCCGGGACCGTGTCCACAATGAAAGGCCCCACAGGGTGTCTTTCTAGCAGTTCCTGGGTTTTTGCTGTGGCCTGGAGAGCAGGGAAGGGAGTGGGGGAACAAAGAGAGAAGACAGCATGTGTCTGAGTGAAACTCCCATCTTTCCCCTTCTTCCCTGGGCTGTGAGGGAACAGTTCCCACTGCGGCTGTCTCAGCCCGGCCTTAGCATTAGTGCTTTCTCCTATGCCCTCCCCGTACCTCCTCCAGGTTCTGAGAAGTGTAGCAAGGACTCTGAGAGGCCTAGCCCTCACTCTTCTGCCAAAACCGGAAGTTCCACTCAAGTCTCCCTCTGTCTGAGGCAAGCTGCCTTTTGAGAACACTGAGCCCTGGCCTCTTTCCTCCTCCTGCCCCTACTCACATCCTTGTAGACCTTCTTCTTCAGGAAGTCTTCCCTGATGACTTCTTCTTCCTTATGACCAACTTCTAATTTCCCCACCTCCCACCCTGTATAGCTGCTCTGGACTTCTCTGGGCCAATTCTGTTGGGTATGCCATCGAGACGACTGTCACGCTGCATGTTCCAAGCCAGAGGACAGGGTTGTCCCTCCACGTGCCCAGCACAGACTAGCTCCCTTACCAGCCCCATCTCCAGTTTTCGGATGGCAGTGTTGGCACGACGCTGCAGTCTCTTCAGGACTGCCTGCAGCTCTCGACGTTGCCACTGGGGCATAACAGCTGTGTCCACTGTCTGCGGTCAGAGAAGGCAACATCACACCTGTGTTCCCAGTCTCACAGCGCTCCAGGGCAGAGGCAGGGCTTGGGTCCAAAGCTCCCATTCATCCCCTTCCCACTCAGAAGTTCCCGACAGAGAATGCCCAGCCTGGCCCCTCTCCTGGCCAACCTGTTAACCTTCTTGGTATGAGACACAGAGACCTGTGAAGGGTTTGGGGTGGTACAAGAAAAAGGGTATGATGTAGTGGGAAGAGAAGAGAAAGGATGTGGTCCTCACATCACTGAGCCGTCCCACATCCTTTGACAATCGCTGAGCCTCCCCGACATCCTGGTTCCCCTGGCTCATTCGAGCTGCAGCTGCTTCAACCTCTTGAGTCAGATGCTGGCCAATGTCACGGGCCTGGCAAATGGAGAAAGGGACTATTTCTTAGCCACAACTATTCCAAGGTTACCTCCCACCTTGCTATGGCTTCCCCTGGACCAAAGATCCCAGGCATGTTTATGCCTCCCCCAGTTAAGGATCCCTTCTCTCTCTTCACTTTCCCCTCGGTCCAACCTGCCTTTTCCCTCCCCCACTCTTTCTTCCATGTGATCACTGACCTGCTGGGCCTGCTCCCCAGTGACAGCCACCAAGCGGATGATGCCCTTGGACAGAGGTCGTTCTCCCACAATAGTCAGGTCCCCAATGGCCCCCGTGCGCAGCAGGTGCCTAGAGGCAAAGGAAAGGGGGATGGTAGAGGGACAGGCATTGTAGAGATGAATCCAGAGCCTACAGCCCACATTGGAACATGGGGAAGCAGTGGTGGAAGGGTTAATGGGAACACCAAGACTGAGTGGAACCTAAGGCAGAAGGGGCACTGGGACAGAGAGGGGGTGACTTACGTGCCACAGCACAGTTCTACGGAGGTGTGCAGTGCAGCCTGGGAGGCGGGAGCCAGGGCACTGGCTACAGGTACGCCCACAGACACCACCCGAACAGGGTCAGGGTATATCTGTGGCAGGGGGAAGAGTAGGTACATTAAAGACCCTCCCCCCAAAAGAGGCAGCACTCCTGAGCCTTCTATCAGTCCCTACCTTTCTTCCTCTCCCTCTTACCTCATCAAGTGAGCGTAAGCCTGGAACTCGGGGGGTCAGCTCCAGAGCCACCTCAGCCGTATACACAGGCTCGTCCCTCCCCACGGCCTCTCGGACAGCTTCCTCCACTGCCTGAAGCTGCTTGGATGTCAATGGGGCCTTGAGAAGTAAGGGAAGGAGAGGGTGATTCCCCTGGACTTCCTTCTTCATAAATGAGCATTTATGGTAGGTGGCTCCATGACTGGTGGGCCTGATGATTCTCAAAACCAGTGAATCATGGAAGAGATCTGCTAATCAAAAGCTGAACTCTTTGTTATAAGGGGATCTAAAGAAAGAAAGAACCAGGTTTCTGCCCTCACGAAGCTTACAGTCTACAAAGTGATGGCGTTCTGCTCATAATCATCCTCCTAGATAACAGCTATAACACTATGTGCCACCAACTGCAACATGACACACTTGGTATAAACTGAACAGGAGTGCTAAGGGGGAAGGCTGAGCTATCTGGGAGTTACCCAGAGAAGGATGCCCGAAGGGGTGGGTTTGGAGCCAGACACAGAAATCAGAGAATAACACAGGTGGGCAGAGAGACGTGTAAAGGGGAGTGATCTCGGAAATGGCAGAAACGAGTAAATTACGTAGATGGAAAAGACAGCTCCTCTTCCACCCTCGTCCAATTAGGTCTGGTGCATCTCCTATGAAGAGCTCATGGGATAAAGAACGTCGGAGCTAGAAGGGATCTTCGAAACCATGTAGTCTATCAGTCTCATTTTGGGGGTGGGGAAACAAAGGTCTAAAGGGGTAAATGATTTGTCCAAGCTCATACAATCAGCATCTGCGAGAGGTGGGGACAGAACTCAGGTCTTTCTAGGCACCAGATCTGTTCTTCCTATCACATGCCACACTGCCCCCAT